AAATATATGTAATTTTGATCGGTCTTTCAGAAAATAAAATTTTTTTTTGATTTTTTATTATAAAATTGTGCACAAATTATTAAAAAACTGAGTGCCATTACTTTCGTCGGGGTCTGTATATTCAATAAGTAAAGAAAATTTTAAAGGTAATTGAAACGTAACATGTAATTTTTATAAAACATTTTAATATAAAGTAGAGGTCTGAATCAATCAAAAATTTAGTATTCAATTAATCAATAGTTTATAAAAATTATAATCAATTATATTTAATTTATTGTTGATTAATAATGATTATTCAAATTATTCAAATCATCCAAATAACTGATTAGTTGAAAGAACTTAATCGTCAATACATTAATTAAAACAATTAAATATATATTTTAAAATTATTTTTATTATCAATAATAATAACAAATTATATTTTACTAATTATTCCAACTATTATTTTTTGCTAATCACTATAATCAGATTATAATTTTCATCAAATAGTGGTTGAAACTAGCCAAAATTCTTTAACAAGTTAATAACTAATTAAAAATATTTGTTGACCAGTCCTATAAATTGAGTTGAAATTAGATAATATTTTGCAATTATAAAAATCTTAATTCTGATCAAAAATTAAATTTTAGCCAGAGTTAAATTCATCTATTTTAACCAGTAAAAAAAATCATTAACTGGTTAACATGTTAACCACTTTAACCAGTTCTAATCTTTATCGTCAAATGAATCTTTTGAAATTACTTCTTATTCTAACAAACATCATCATTGTAAATTGTATCAAACTCATTTTGTTTTGTAAAATAAAATTTAAACGAAAAAATATAAAAAAAAATTTGAAGTTAAATGTCTTTAATTAATTTATATGTTGCATGCTTATTAAACAATGGATTCTGAATATCTGATTATCTGATTATCCATTCATAGTTGGTAATAATCGATTAAATGACTGAATAACTGATCAAAATTTTTGTCTAATTGATCATTATAATCAGTTAGTCATATCTGAATAATTTGACTACAGATCGAATGATTCAGACCTCTAATATAAAATACAAAATATGTTTTTTTTCATTTTAACTGCTTTTCTTTTTTAAATGTGAAATTTTTGTTTTTAGATGTATCAAATTAATAAATAATAAATTATATGCTAATTATATATTATAATTAAAATAGCATATTAATTAGCCTAATTTATTAATATAGCAATTTCAATGTATTAATAAATAAATTTTGTAATTAGTTTATATTATATTAATTTATTGATTTTTAGCATTAAAGGTTTAAATCAGCATTTAATTTGATTAGCTAACTAATTTTGAAAGGTTTCACTAATAAAGTTCAGTTTTGTTAAATATCATTCAGTTTTGCTAATTTCGTCTTAATTTCAGATTATCAGAAAGTTTTGGATTTTTATTTTTGAAAGCTAAAATATTTTAACCTTAAGATTTTAGTTTTACCTATAACTTTAACCTGTATAATTTAATAAATTGTAATATTTATTTATATCTTAATAATAATTAGAGTTTAAAAGAAAATAAAAAGTTATGAAAGAGTGTAAGATTTATGACCAGACATGACAGTATCCATATCAAAAATGATAATAATAATATATAAATTATTTAAATTAATAAAATTAGATAAATAGTTAATTATTATATAAATTAATATAAATATTTATTAAAAATATAGTTATATAATTCATTTATTTTAGATTCTATTGCAACTTTAAAAATTGAAAGTAGTTTTTTTTTAATTTAAATTATTTTCTATTAATATAATTATTGATTATACAGATTCTTACCAAAAGTCTCTAAATGTTTTTGGCTTAATATAAAATTTAATTTTTTTTAAATTTTATTAAAGAAACTTTATTAATATATTTATTAAAATACAATATACTAAAATTTAGTACTAAATAATTAGTACTTGATTAGGCTTCCATTTGCTTTAATTACAGTCTGAATTCACTGCGATATACTATTGACCAAATTTTTAATAGTTTTTATTAGAATTTGATTCCATGCTTTTATAATATATCAGTTGAGTTAAGCAAGATTAGAAGTCAAATATTTCTTTCACAAATGCTTTTATTGACTTTAGTTCATAGATTCTTAATAGGATTGAGATCTAGACTATGAAAGTACGTGCAAACTATTTTCTATATAAAACTTCTTTGCAAGTTTCATTTTGTAAAAGTGAGCATTATCCTCTTAGAATATACTATCATAGATTAGAAATGCATATCTCATAGTTAGCATAACACATTTGTGAAGAATAATAACATATGTAATACAAGTAACTATTCTAGATAATGAAAAAACTAGTTTTAAATCTTATCTTGAAAAGCAGTCTTAAAACATCTGGCTAGGACTATATTTCACTGTGGTAGAAATACAAGAAATATTCCATTTTTCATGAGGTTCATGTCACACTCGACTATAATAGCTTTATTGAAATTATGAAAAGGTTAATTCATCACTTCATATGACCTTTGACCAATTATCCTTTATCCAACTTTGGTATTTCAAATACTATACAAGATGTGTCTCAACATTTTTTAGTATAATTAAAGACTTTCATGAGTAAAACAATTATTTAATCTACTGTACAAAGTGTCTTACTAATAGTTTAAGTTGAAACATCTTGGTCAGTCTTTTTTTATCAGAGTTGTTGAATTTCTTTAGTACATAAGTGACAATTTTTTTATTATTAATGATAACTTGCTTAAACTACTTTTATTGCAAATCTTTAATTAAGGGTAGTTGACCAAAATAAAGCTTAATATTAATAGTTCTAGTATTATCCATTCTTTTTAAAATATCAATAACTGTTAATAATCTATAACTAATAGTTGCAATAATAATTTAGTAATTATCATTATATTAGTAATAAGAAATTATATCTTTACATTATTCTATTGTTAATTCCTTGAACATTTTCATTATTTTGGAAAGATAAAGTTTATTTTAATTAAAAATCAAAATAAATAAACTAAATATGCATTTATTTAGTTTAATTTAAGTAAATAAAGTTCAAACATTACATGACCAAAGTATTATACAGTTATGTGACATAATTAGTATGAAGTATCCTCTAAAAATAGTGTTCAGAGACTTTTAATAGGGGTCTTTAAATTAGTATATAATTTATTAATTATTGATGATTATATTTTAGATTCATTTCAAATATTATTTATTAAATTACAATTATTAATAATTATTTTTTTTATTAAACCTATATATTATAAATCAAGATTTAAAATTGACGTAATTCTTTCAATAAAATTTTTTCATAAATGATCTAGTGAAGTATATAAAATAAAATAACAAATGGAGACCAGTCTAGCAAAAGCTGAAGTTTAGTAAATTATGTGATTTCAAGAAAATTGCAATTTAAATTTATTAGTTAATTTAGTAAACTGCAATTTATTTCATCATTTTTAAAGATTTTAAAATTGGTTTTTTGTAAATTAGGATAAAATTTATTTTCTAAAAAATTAGATCAATAAATATGTAATTATAATAAAATTTTAAAATCAAAATTTTAGCTGAATCCTAGCTTTTGCTAGACTAGTCTTTCTTTTTTATGTTAGAACTTACTTTAATTAAACTATTTCTAAGGTTATAAGAATTTATTTTAAAGTTCTAAAAATAAAAAATTCTAAAAAATATATATATATATATTATAATAATTATTTAGCTTATCTGATGATCTGATAAATTTGACAAATCATTTGCAAATATTTGAGAATTAATTATATTGATTTAGATAATCTATTTTTAATCAAATGATTAATCAGATAAATTACTTTTTTTCAAAAATAAATATCATATTTTAAGTATAATTATTAGATAAATAATGAATTTTTCTAAAAAATTATTATATTTTTTATATAAATTTAAATAAAATAATATACTGAATTATTTTTTACTATTTGCCTTTATTTTATTTAAATGATTAAATGATTTTTAATTATTTCTATCATAATATTACAATATTAATTATAAAATGAAAATCTATAATTTTTTTACATATTTCAGCAATTAATTTAAATATTCATTTAAGTTTATAAGATGAATGTACTCATATTAATACTTAATAAATTAGAATTAAAGTTTATAAAAAATAATTATAAAATATAGGTTTTAAAGTAAATTTTATAAAAAATTAATTGAAATTGTTTTATTTTAGTAGTAATTCTTTTTTTTTTATTATAGTAAGTTTATAAATAAATTTTCAGGTGGATTTTTTAAAAAAAATAGGTTTTTATACTAATTATAGTATATACCTTTTTTTTTAGAGTAGATCAGTATATATTATTTAAAATTTTATTATAATTATTTATAATTACTATTTTAAATTATTATCATAAAAATTTATAATTACTATTTTAAATTATTATCATAAAAATTTATAATTAATTTATATTTCAAGTTATGGTTAATTATAATTTATATTTTAAATTTCAATATATTTTAAATTATAACATATATTATAATTATTAATTTATATAATATTATAATATTTAATTATAGTATTTATGTTTACTTTAAACTAACATAAACTTTTTCACAATAAAATAATTATTTAATAAATTTTAAAGTATTATAATTATGTTTAGTATAATATTATATTTTATAAATCATAGTTTAATATTTGCATATTATATTCTATTAATATAATTAAATAATTAGGTTTATATACTTTGTACTTGTATTTATCATCTATAAAAATTAAATAAGCTTCATCTTTATATGTAATTATTATTTATTTTAAATAATAAATAATGCAGATGTATAATGTGAATTTTAGTTATTTTTTATATTTATATACATCTTCTAATATTTTAATTTTAGTATTTATGTATACTTAATATTAATCAATAGATTGATTAACTATTTTCTAATATATATTTTAATATATATATTTATATATTCAGCTTAGAGTTTAGAACTGATATTTGACATTCGAATATAAATCCAGTTTCTTCCGATTCGAATTTACATTATATCTGGATATAATAAATCCAGTTCCTTCATTTTATCCAGATATAATAAATCTGATTTCTTCGTTTTATCCAGATATAATAAATCCGGTTCCTTCATTTTATCCGGATATAATAAATCCGGTTCCTTCGTTTTATCCAGATATAATAAATCTGGTTCCTTCATTTCATTCGTATATAATAAATCTAGTTCCTTTGTTTTAGTTCGAATATAAAAATTAAATTCGTAATTATAGGAATCTACAAGAAATTCAATTTTGGAAAATACTTCGATTATAAA